CCGCTCCCACAGCCCTTGCCCCCGCTCCCACAGTCCTTGTCCCCGCTCCCACAGTCCCCAGACTCCAGACTCCATGCCCCTGAGCTCTGACAGCTGCCTCCCGCCTAGCCCTCCAGCGTCTGGTACTCAGCTGTCAATACCTCATTCCCGGCGTCCGCTGCCCATGCCCCGATGCCCGATGTACGGACACCTGGTGCCCCAACACTCAGCTGCCTTGAGCCCCAGACCCTGGGCCCAGCCAGGACGGTAGGTGGACCCCGGCCAGGGCATGGAGGGGTCGCAGGACCCCAAGCGAAGGGTCACCCTCCGAGCACCAGGCTCGTCGCCGACTCCCTGGACTGTCACGGGAACTGCCTGCCTGTGCAGGAGAAAACAAGCCGTAGTGCCCTCCCTGGTGTCCCGTGTTCGTGCTTTGGTTCCAGAGAGTTCCACACGCCTTTCAGGGTCCAGAGCAGCCTGGTCTGGGCCCTCCATCCACTGCCAGGTGACCTGGGTCAGGTCCCTCCTTGGCCTCGGTCTCTCCATCTGAGAAGTGGGTTGAGACAGGGACCCGGGTGGGGTGAGGAGGAAGGGTGTGGTGTCTGGGGTGCCACCCTGAGTGGCCAGGAGATGAGATGATGAGACGGAGCCAGCCTGCCCTCCCCGGTGCCACCACCTGCCCCTTCACCTGCAGAAAGCTGGCCCCGGGGCCCCCCACCCTGCCCTGGCAGTTCCCCGAAGCTGGGGGCACGCCCCACGTCCTCTGACCCGGGTCCATGTTCTGGGTCCCTGGGCACCAGACGCTGAGCGTGGAGCACAGGCCTCGTGCCACCGCTGCCCACCGGGGCCCCGGCCCCTCCTCCAGGGCCAGGCGGCTGGCATGGGAACACAGGCCAGGAGCCCAAGTTCCCTTTGGTAACGCGGGTCATGGAGGGCCTGACAGGGTAGGCTGTGCGCTGTGCGTGCCAGAAAGCACCGAGGAGGGTGGGGTTGGAGGCTGGTGCCCCCTGCGTGTGCCAGGCGGGCATCTCCATCTGAGGGGCGGGGGCCAAGGGGGTAGTGTACCTACAGGATGAAGAGCCTTAGGAGAGCCCTAGCCGGTGTAGCTCAGTGGATAGAGCACCGGCCTGCGGACTGAAGGGTCCTGGGTTCGATTCCAATCTAGGGCACGTACCTCGGTTGGAGGCTCGTCCCCGGCCTGGGCCTGGTCAAGGGCGTGCAGGAGGCAACCTGTCGATGTGTTTCTCTCACATGGATGTTCCCTCTCTCTCTCCCCCTCCCACTCGCTCTAAAAGCCAATGGGGTGGGGGGAGCACCCCGGAGGGGAGTGTTGGGTGAAGCCCTCCTCACTGTGGCTGCAGCACCAAGAGCGGCCACATGGGGGAAGCAGAGGGTAAGAATGGCTGCCAAGGTGGAGGCTGCACCAGGGCCCAGGCCACCGGGAGGAGGGCGCGGGCCCCAGCCTGCAGCTGGGCCACAAGCTGTGCTCAGAGCCTCGCCCTGTGCCTCTCAGCTGGGGCGCTGGGAGCCGTCCCCACGTCTCAGGAACTCGAGGCTGCACGGGTCACCCCAGGTCATCTAGCTGGCACTGACCGCCAGGTTGCAGCCCAGACCTCCCTGCCCCCAGAGCGCCCCCTTTGGCGAGGGGCCCTGGCAGAGGTAGGGCTGGGTGGCAGGGGCAGGTCTTGTCCGCGGGGTTTCTGGAAGTGGGCAAGAATACACAATGCGGGGGATTTGGGGGGCTCCCAGGGACAGGGCCCAGAAGAGGGAAGGAGGGGAGAAGGTCAGTGCCTCCTGCCCTTCCAGACCCCACCCCCACCCCCCCTTCTCCACCTCTGCTTCCAGCTCAGGACAGTGGGGCTGAGCGACCCACAGCTGCTGGGCGGGTACTTCCCTCTGCAGATGAGGGGGGCGGGGCCGGCCGAGCAGCCCAGCTGGCACTTGTCGGTGGGTGAGAGGGCAGTTTCGTGGTCCAGGCAGTCGGGACACGACACCGCCTGGGGGTTTGGGGGTTCGGGGGTTCACAGCTCCCACAACAAGCCCCAGAGGCCCCATGAGATTCTCAGCTGCCATGTGAGGGGCCTCCCAGGTGGAGGAGCAGGAGGTTGGGGCGAAGGGAGAGGAAGGGCCTGGCAGCCCAGGTTGCATCCCAGAGTGAAGCATGGCTTCCTCGAGCGCCCTGCCCGCGCCCCCCGCCCCCGCCCATCCCTCTCAGACAGGCCTAGAGCTGCCCTGCCCCTCCCCGGCAGGAGGAGGGGTGCGCTGTCTGGGCCCCAGCATCAGGCGTCCTCTGTGCCAGGGGCAGGCCAGGCTGGGAAGCCCCAACACCTGACAGGGTTTTCCCAGGGGCCCCCGGGGGACAGGGGCTCTGTCTGGGTCTGTGTGAGGGCGGAAGTTCCCGGAGCCCGGCATGGACTCCCCAGCGACATCAAAGGCGGGGACCACCCCCATTTCAGGGAAATGGAACCCCTGGGAATCAAGACCTCCAAGCCCAAGGCTCACAGTGCATATAAGAACCAATCGATGAAGGAATGCATCAATAAGTGGAACGGCCGGCTGGTGTGGCTCAGTGACTGAGCGCTGACCTGTGAACCAGGAGGTCAGGGTTCGGTTCCCGGTCAGGGCACAGGCCCGGGTTGGGGGCTGGATCCCCAGTGTGGGGCGTGTGGGAGGCAGCCGGTCGGTGATTCTCATCACTGATGTTTCTCTCTGTCCCTCTCCCTTCCTCTCTGAAACCCATAAAAACAATAACAATATTATTTTAAAAATAGGCGAGTAGATAGAGAAGATTTGGCTTATGTATACAATAGAATATTATTCCCTCATCTGTGGGAAAAGCGGAAACCGCGCCACCTGCAAAAACATGAGCCAGGCTGGAGGGCATTCTGCTAAGATCAGTCACAGAGGAAAACAAACAGTGCTCTCCCTGCTATGTGGGACCTCGGCGCCAGGCTCCTGCTTCTTGGCTCTGGATTCCTGATGTGCCGAACGGAGAACCGAGCGCCGGCACTGCCGCTAACCACACCGGTTAATGGAATGACACAGGCGGCAGGCGTACGGTCCTCTAGCCCCTCGTCTGCGTGTCGTATGGTGCTACCACCCCTGGTCAAGTCGCCTTCCCCCGAGTGTGTATTGTGAGTGAGAGCTGGGGGATTGTATAAATGCTTTTCTGCATTGACCGAGATGGCCAGTCTTTTTTTTTTTTTTTTCCTGTGGGTGTGAAAACGTGGCGGATTTCGTTGCTTGATTCTCCAAGGTTCAGCCCATCTTGCGTTCAGAGAGCACACCCACATCGGTGTGCGATAAGGTCTTTGTGATTGCGTTGGGCGCGCTTGTATTTGAGTTTCACACCCCTGTGTGGGAACGGAGTCAGCCTCTCCTGTTCCGACACGAACTGTCTTTGTTGGGCCCGGCCCTGGCGGCTCCGTGCCTGAGCGTCCAGCTAGGAGCCAGGAGGTCACGGTTCAGTCCCTGGTCAGGGCACAGGCCCCCCCCCCCCCTTGTGGGCTCGATCCCCAGTGGGGGGCGTCCATGATTCTCTCTCCTCATTGGTGTGTCTCTCCCTTCCTCTCTGAAATCAATGAAAACATCTTTTTTTAAAAAAAATGTCTGGGTTGGGTTTCTTCCCGAGATTCTGCTGGTCTCACTGGGAGAGCTGGGCCCCGGTCCCTCTCTGCTCCGCGGGGGAGTCTGTCTGGGAGGCTGTTTTCCTCGCAGCGTGGAGGGCGGTGTGTGTGTGGGAGGGGGGTGAGGGGGGGCAGGGAGGGCGCCTCGGGCCGGGAGCTAGTTCCTCCGCCTCTGGGATCTCGCTGCTGTTTTCACTGGAAAAGGCTGATGCGTGAATGCGGTTGAGCAACTTGCTTCTGAGTGGAAACAGCCATTTGCAGCTTTCTGAGGCCTAAGGCGTCAGAGCCCCGTGCATCTTCCCGATGCGTTCTGGATCTGACATTAACTATTTCAGTGTTTTAAAAGATTCGAAGGTCTTCCCCGCCCCCCGCCCAAGAGCACACCCGATGGATTATTCTTTTATTATTATTATTTCAGAGAGGAAGAGAGAGAGAGAAACATCGATGATGAGATGGGCTGCCTCCTGCACGCCCCACACTGGGGACCGAGCCCACAGCCCGGGAATCGAACCCCTGACCTTTCAGTTCACAGGTCGACGCTCAACCACGGAGCCCCGCCAGCCAGGCTGGAATGTTCTTTCCACCTGCTCTTTCCTTTCTTTCTGCTAAAGCCTCGAGGCCCCTTCTTTTGCTTCTGTGACGCGTTTCCCGAGTCCCCGAAGCCCAGCTGGCTGCTGCTTCCTCCCTCTGGAGCTTTTAAAATAAACGTTCACTTCTCAGCGGAGCTCTTGGCTCTGGGTTCTTCCTTTGCCGAACTCCAGAACCGGGTCCGACGTGGCCGGTCACAGCTGGAGCCATTTCGCTGCCAGCATCACGGTACCAAGGCCACGCGTGAGAGTTGTGGTGCCGGCCCGTGGGGGTCTGCCTCAGCCCGGCCCGTGGTGTGTGGGTTCCTGACTCCACGCAGGAAAGATGTCACACGCGAGTCCAGGTGACTGAGGGACCGTTTATTGAGCTGGGACCAGTGACACAGGGAGGGCTGAGTGTGGGAGCGCCCAGGCGGGCTGCCTCGCTCTGGGAGCCGGAGGAGAGGGGCCTTGGCCTGGCCGGTGTGGCACAGTGGTTTGGAGTGTTGTCCAGTACATAGAGAGGTGGTGGGTTCGAGTCCCAGTCAGGCCACATACCTAGGTTTCAGGTTCTATCCCCGATGTGAGGCAATCCATCCGTGTTTCTCTCTCTCTCTCTCTGAAATCGATAAAAAATTAAAAAACAGAGAACAGTCCTGGTCCTGGGGGAGCATGGCCCTGCCCGCATCCTGCTCTCGGCCCAGTGACATTGACCACAGCCCCCCCCCCCCCACACACACACACACACACTCAGTTTCCGCGTCAGGAGGCCTGTGTGTGGTGTTTTGTCTCTGGGCACAGGGAGTGCATCCTGCTTGGCCCAACGCCAGGAGGAGTGGGAGGCAGGACTCAGGGGGGCCCTGCCAGGGGGAGGGGGACCCCGATTCTCTCAGGAACCAGGAGGGGCGGGACCCCCAGGCCAGGGCGGCCCTGCCAGCAGCTGGCAAAGCCAGTCATGGTGGTTGGGGCTCCTGGGTCCAGATGAGCGGTTCTCAACTGGGGGTGGTTTGGGGCTGGTTGTTGGGGGTGGGGGTGCTGCTGCACCTAGTGGGGGAGGCCAGGAGTGCTGTGGGGACAGCCCCACCACAAAGAGTGTGTCACCCCAAGTGGTGCCAGGGGTGGGAGCATGGGCTGCTGGGCCGGGCCGGGGTCTCAGGTCTCACTGCGGCCAACGCTTTCCTGGCCCCGAAGACGAGAGGCAGAGACAGGCCTTGGCCAGGGCCCAGGCCGCACCCCTGCCTTCCTTTCCCACAACAGGGGGCCCAGGCGGCCCCACGTCAGAGCTCCAGCAAGTGGGGGGGGGCAGGGGCACTGCTTCTGCCCAGGGGAGGCCTGATGGGCCCAACTGCCTCAGTTTCCCCACATCTATGCTGGTGCAAAGGACGGTGGGAACCCATGCGTCTGCTTCCTGAGGGTCCCCTCCCTCCCCGAATGCGGGGGCGCCTCCTCTTTCACCTTGAACTGGAGGATGCACTGATGGGGAGGGGCCCACAGTCCTGGGGGGGAGGCTGGAGAAGCTGGAGGGACACGCAGGGCCACCGGCCCAGGGGGCGGGCGCGGGCCCCTCTGCCAGGCTGCCCCACCTCTTGCACCCCCACTGGCTCCCCGGCCAGGGGTCAGTCACGCCCTGACCCTCCACAGGCCGAGGTCGGGCAGATCCCGGCTCTGGGGAGCAGCCGCCTCAGTAGCCGGCGGCCTCCCCCTGCTTCCTGGGGTCCGAGACGGCCTGCACGCAGGCCCCGTCCTGGAACACGGCCTGCACCACGTTCAGGAAGAACTGCCGCACCGCCTGCTCCTGGCCCCGGCGCTCCAGCCCCTGCTTCACTTCCTGGGGGAGAGAGGGGGGCCCCAGGTGAGGACGCCTCAGACCTGTCTCCATGGCAACAGGGCCCAGGCCAGACCTGAGGCTCCGGGGGAGGTGAGGGTGTGGGGGAGGTGAGGGTCTGGGGGAGCCGAGGATGTGAGGGAGCTGAGGGTGTGGGGGAGCCGAGGGTGTCGGGGAGCTGGATGCCAGGCTGTCATCTCTGCATCCTCAGAGTCCAAGGTCCTCAGAGAATTGTGCTCACAGAGTAACCACAATTCAAGGTCAAGGTCAAGGTCCAGGTCCAGGTCCAGGAGGAGTGCCTGAGAGGACAGGTTCTGGGGGAGGGAAGGCCTTGGCTCCGAGAGTTTGAGCCCGATTGGCCAGCTCCTCGGCTCTGGGCCCACAGACGGGAGTTCCCAGGGACGACGCACCCGCGGGCTCAGGGCCCCTCACTCTGGTGGCGAGAGAGGCCCCAGGTCATGAGCGGCTCCTCACGGGAGGATCTCGAACCCCAGCTGGCTGACCTGCCCTGGGCCTGGAGCTTGCAGCCCTGAGAGCTGCCATGTTTGGAATTAGGTCCTGGCAAAGGGCGCTGCCAGCCCAGAGAAGCTTCCAGAAAGCTGACCGTCGTCCTCGGGTGGAGGGGGCGGGGCGGGCGTGGGGGGTGGAATTCAGCTCCGGGACCTGCTCGTGTCGGTCGGGGATCGGGGATCGAGGAATGTTCCTAAGAACAGCCCGGCGCGGCCGTGCCTCCCTCCCTCCCTCCCTCTCGAGGAAAGAACAAACTCCGACAAACAGATCTGCCCTTAAAGCTGCCGAC